CCCCAACTCCCAACCCAGCCAGCCTATCCAGAAGAACACCATGTCGATGGTGTCGAAAGCTGCTGAGAGGTCCAGGATCACACTCCCCCTGTCTCTCTCCCGGCAAAGATCATCATACAGGGCGACCAAGGCAGTCTCTGTACCAAAACCCGGCCTGAAACCTGATTGAAATGGATCCAGAAAATCCATTTCATCCAGCAGCGCCTGGAGTTGCCCAGCCACAACCCACTCTAACACTTTGCCCAAATAAGGGAGGTTCACCAATGGTCGATAGTTAACCACCAGCCTTGGGTCCAGGTTAGGCTTTTTAAGGAGTGGCCGAATTTTCGCCTCTTTCAAGGTGGTAGGGACCACTCCCTCTCTCAAAGAGGCGTTCACAACCTCCTGGATCCAGGTGCGAACCCCCCTGGCTGATCTTCCAATTAGCCAAGATGGGTAAGGGTCAAGCGGAGTGGTGGTAGAACGGACAGATCCAAGCACCCTGTCCACATCCTCAGGTCTCAACAATTGAAACTTAATATTTCACCTAAGCATGGCACACTGGACACATCCTCTGATTTTGCAGTAACAGTAGCGTCCAATCCACTGCGAATCTGAGCAATTTTTTCCTCAAAATGATTGGCAAACTCATCACAGCGAGCTAGTGAGCAGTCCAGGACCCCCACCGGATTTCCCGGTTGAAGAAGATTCCGGACCCCCAACACAGCTCTGCTGGATGACATTCTGAGGAAGCAATACGGCTGGAGAAATATTGCCGTTTCACCAGCCGTATTGCCACGAAATAGGCCCGATAATGAGCTCTAAGTCATGTTCGATCGGACCCCCAGCGGGATTTCCTCCACCTGTGCTCCAGCCGTCTCCCCTCTCGCTTCATTTTGATAGATTTGTATGCATAATCATGTGGTCTGTATACCACAGGTCCCGTTCAAAAGGCCATTAATTCAATCAGCATGTTTTCTTGCTATTTATATCTGTTCTGTATGCTATACGTGCCATCTCATACAAATTGATTCATTTTCTGTCCTGTTTCTGGGTCCCCACTACCCTAAAATTATCTTTTTAAAAAAATCCTAAGCACATATCAGTAAAGCGGCATATGCATGTCATTTTCCTGTCACTTCCAGTTGTTAGTTGATGCACCAGGTGGTGGGATATGTCAGTAGATAAATTTAGGGCAGCATTAAAAAAGGACTTGAATTCTTGTTGAAATGCTAGGGGGGAAAGTAACTCTAAGCCACACAAAAAGTGGGGATGAGGTGTACAACAGGGAAGGCAACAGCTAAATGATAACGTCAGTAAACTGTTGTGGAGAAAAAAATGTAAAAGAAAAAGTAAGGAATTTATCGCTATGCGTTTCTTTAAAAAATAAGGGGGAAAACTGGTACAAGTGGCCGCCATGCAGTGGCCACGATGGCAAAAAACAACAACAACTGACCCATTGTCAAGTAAATAAATTAACAGCAATGTTCACAGGCAACAAAATGATAGGGATTGAAGTGATCCAGGGGCTGGATGATTTTTAAAAGACCATGTCAACAAGGTGGAATCGATGCTCAATGAATCAATGTTACCCGTGTGCCATGTGAATGGAAATTTATAAAACGATTTAAATAATAGCAGAATAGACAGAACTGAGGTTCTTTTGACACCTGTGATGGTACTCTTGGTATTGCAACTCATCTCATTTGATTCATGCCCTGGTTTTGAGTCAGTTTGTAGATTTCCCACTCACTTAAAATGTAAAAAGGAAGGAAGGAAGGAAGGAAGGACGGAAGGAAGGAAGGAAGGAAGGAGGAAGGAAGGAAGGAAGGAAGGAAGGAAGGAAGGAAGGAAGGAAGGAAGGAAGGTGGAGGCTAATGTGATTTGTGTCCCATCCAATTTGATTTGCACTCCAAACACAAATCAAGGTGGAAATTCATGTTACATCACCCAGCAAATGAATCTGACTGTTCCGCTTGGACCCAGCCATCATACAAATTGGTGAGCATCAGGATAATTCAGTTTGGAATTTAGGCTTTATCTACAAATCTGGTGTTCTGCTATTCTGGGAATTTTAAAGAACAGTTCCTCCCAACCAAATTCAACAAGCGTCTCTGGGTTTACTCCTCACTCCCCATCTCAAAGGTAATCACATCTGCTGCTAATCTTCGGCAAGTACTTTGCATCTGCTTCCTCCCCACAAATCGTCTCAGGATACAAAATCCTCACCACCTCATTCGCTGCCTTGGCTGTTGCAGTGAAAGAAGAAGAGGATGAGAAAAATGAGGAGTGGGGTCTCCCGACTGCAGCTAATGATGGAAAGGGGGAGAGGAAGCTGAGTCGGACCAGCCTGGAAAAGAGACTGAATCAAAGGTCCTGTGATGTCCACAAATGTTCGGAGGGCTGTCCCAGAGGGTGGGTGATGGAGCAAATCATGGCACAACCCCCCCCCCCGGAAAGAATCAAATGGCAAGAAAAGGGGATTTTGCGAAGGACCTCTTGAGGGTATGAGCCGTTCAGTTGTAGTTCAGAGAGAAGGGGATGGATCCTCCATTGATAGCAATTTTCTAACTGCGGCTGGAAAGCCAACTGTAGTAGCAGGTTTCCTACATTGATCAGGGGTGGATTTGATGACTTTTGAGATCCCTTCCAGCTCTACCATCCTTTTATGGGTTCTCAAACACTCTCTGCCAGTGAATACGTATAAAATACAGATGTCTTCAGCCCATCAGCCCGGCAAAGGACGAGAACAAAGCCTGATCTTTCTGTTCACAGAGACGGAAATATTTACCCCAAACCATTTGCGCCGCCTCTCCCCGATAGTCCGTATGCTGTATTTATCATGGACTACAAAATTACCTCACTAAGAAGTGAACTATCCTAGACATCTAGGTAGGAACCCAATAGAAAAATGTTATTTAAGGCAAATGTTCTCCTAAGGCAGTATTTCCCAATCTGGGGGTGTTTCGTGGGGGGGGGGGTGTCACAGATCGTCCTTGTTAAATTTTGGAGTGATGTTAAAGTTAGCCTGTATGTGTGTGATACAGGTCCTTTGAGGGAGAAAGAAGCCTCTACTTTCTGGGAAGGGATTGGCTTCAAAATGCATTTTTCATGCAAACATGGCAGGCAGGTCAGAGCTTACTTGGCTATTGTAAAAAGGGGGTCATAATTCAGTAAAGTTTAGGAGCCCCTGTGCTAAGGCTTGCTTAAGATCGCTCTGCCAATTTGCATCCTTTTTTTTGGCCCTGGACATCCAGAAGAGGCTCACCAGTCAGGGTGAGCCTCAGGCGACAAAGCAGAAGAAGGAGGAGTGGTCCCCCTTCCTCTTTTGGAGCAGCTTCCCATTTCTGTTTCATGGCAATTGGGCATGTCTAAGGGTGCTCTTAGGGGGACGTGGTGGCGCTGGGGGTTAAACCGCAGAAGCCTCTGGGCTGCAAGGTCAGAAGACCAGCCATCGTAAGATCGAATCCACGGGACGGAGGGAGCTCCCATCGCTTGTCCCAGCTCCTGCCAACCTAGCCATTCAAAAGCATGTAAAAATGCCAGTCGATAAATAGGGACCATCTCGGTGGGAAGGTAATGGCGTTCCGTGTCTATTTGCGCTAGCCACGTGACCACGGAACTGTCTACAGACAAACGCTGGCTCTGTGGCTTGGAAATGGGGATGAGCACCACCCCCTAGACACGACTGGACTAAATG